GATGATCAGGCCTAGGACACCACCCTGACAAACTCCTGCAGAGCTTCTCTGAAACTGCAATAGCTAACATTCAACAGCATTACCTTGTGCCAGGTATAACTCCAACGTGTGGAGAGTTTCCCCCCGATTCCTATTGATTCCAATGTTACTAGGGCTTCTTAATGCTCCATATCTTCTGGTACCTTGGTGTGCGAGCCATGAGGTTCAGTGGATTTGTTGACATTAGTTCCGTAATTTCTCAAGTCCTAGTTATTTACTAACACAAACATCCTTATATTTTTCATTTTCTCTAGTCCCTTAGTTCCCACTGTTTCCAGAATGGCTTTTTGTACCTTCTGCCGTAAAAATAGATACAATACGTTAAATTGAAGTGTCTTGACCTGTCACCACCTTGAATGAGTTGAAAAGATGGACTGGCAGAGTGAGACATAGGATGAAACCTTTGAGGAGGCAGCAATTAAAAAGTCATGCTTGGAGCTCCTCCCAATTTAGGATGGCAGAACTGGGAGAGACAATAAGAGTGCTTTAAGTCCCTGGGTGACTGACAGTCCCATGGGAAAGATGGGCGCTGCTGAGTATCAAATTGTAAATCATTCCACCACATTACAGTGGCAGTCAGCAAGATTTGGAGAGATTTCCAATTAGACCTGTAATAGAAAGAACATTGGAGCCTCTATCATCACCATCCATTGAATCAGACTACAACATGCATGTAAAAAGTACATGTTGGCACAGTAACTCTCAGACTCCTGAGTGAAATGTAATACCAAACTCTGCCATCGTTTCCAACCTTGGTTATTCTGCAACCATGTCTTCATAATGGCTGAGATCAAACCCATTAATATTTATTTCCTCTATCACTTCATCTATTTTTATATGAATGTTTTGTACATTCAAATACAATGCCTTTAGCTGTATTTTCACTCTTCTTTCCCGATGTTGCCCAAGTTGCTTATGTCCCATCTCTTCCTAATCTTCTCCTTTTTGCTCCTGTGCTCAACAGCCTGAATATTTCCATTATTGTTTTTGAATTTGCCTTCCCCAGACAGTACCAGCACTCCTTCATCAGTTCAAAGGCCTATCTACCACTCTGTTTGTGCAGGCTCACGGGGAAAGAGCATGAGATTGGCATTAAGTTAACATGTTCAGAGCCAGTACAGACATGATAGGCTGAATGGCCTCGTTAAGCATTATAACAATTCTGTGATTCTGGTTATTCAACTTCCTACCAAGCAGCCCAGACTGACTGTCTCTTTCCTGAGTACTGATGGCTGTGTCCCATGGATCAATATTCCAGCCTCTCCTACCACTCTCAATTCCAGAAAGTTGGCCTTGAATCCATATTTTCCTTTGCAAATTTGCAAATGGTTCAGTTAACAATCTAGACATTATTATATATAAAGTTCTACAGTTTAATTTCCACTCTATCTCCTCAGGTTCTCTCACCAATACTGATGTCATGGTTTCTCGGTGGAGCATGACAACTCCCCACTCAGTCCCACCCCGCTTCAACACTAAATCTTTCTCCAGCTGATGTAGTTGTCTTTAACCCTGGCAGCAGGCAACCAACACAACCTTCAGGACTCTTGTGGCTGAAAAGAACAGATTTTATCCTTTTGCTGACCCACTTCACAGAGTCTTGATTATCTTGACATGTCTTCTTTTACACCATGTAAAGCCTGACATGTGCTGGTTATGCAGCTCACCTTAAATAATCCATCATGGTGGTTAGTTAATGAATCCAGGTATGTTAGGTTGGGCGGCAAAGGCTACTGCAGAAGCTTCCTTAGGAAGGAGGAACTTCGCCAAAGCAAGATAATTAAACTACTCTCTGCAGAAGTGGATATGTGGGCAGAACTTAGACTCTTAATAGTCTGATCCCCCTGGAATCCTTCTTTCCTGCCATTTCTGTTGAATAGGTAACCTAGGACATTTTAATTAAACAGCTTCTGATTAGCAGCTAGGTGTTAAGTCACCCTGGAATCTACTAACCTAACTTCCAGGGGATTCCCAATAAGCTAAAACAAATGAAGTTGCAATAAATGTGAACTATTATGAGAATGTTAAGCTATCAATTAATTCCTTCACGCACTGGGTCAAATGTCTTGCTTGAATTTTAATCGCTGTCTGTCAGTGTTACTTCCCTGTGAATTTGACGGTAGAAGACTACATTTAGGTCTGTGGTAGCATTCACACCATCAAATCTCCTTAACACTTACACACAATTTACAGACACCACCCCACCCCATTTCTGTCGCTTGTAGAATTGGAGCAAACTTACAGTGGAGAAAGAGCCCACACATTGTATCATGTTGACTAAATGAACTCTTCTCACTTTCTAGTGCCTGGGCTGCAGCCATGTACGTTACAAAGCTTCAGGTGCAGAGCTATGTTCCCTGTATACCAGTTGAGCTTTTCCACCCCAACGACTAAACTGGGCATCAAATTCCAGATATCCACCCCCCATTGAGTGAAAGGGTTTCTTTTCCTCATGTTCTCTCTGATTCTTCTACCAGTCACCTTAAATCCATGTCCCTTGATACTGATCTCTCTATTAGGGGAAGCAGGTCATCCCTGTTCATGCTATCCAAGCCCCTCATTATTTTGTACACCTTCATTAAATTGCCCCTTAGCCTCCACTGTTCTAATGAAAAGACTCCAGTCTATTCAAGCTTTCCTCATACCTACAATTTTCAACCACTGATAATACTCTTGTAAATTTCCTTTCTATTGTCTCCAAGCAATTATGTCCTTCCTGTAGTGTGGTGAGTGGAACTGTACACAAAACTCCCGCTGTGGCCTAACCAGCATTATAGTTGGTTCCAGTGAACAAAAACATCCCTTTTGCATTCTTTACCACCTATCCTGCCACCTTCCAGTACCTGCACTTTGAGGTTTGTCAATTCCTCTACCCCTTGCAATAGCTCCCCACTTATTCTGTATTCCCTTGCTCTGTTAGCCCTCCCTAAATGCATAACCATCGCATCTGTTTGATTTCTATTTGCAACTTCCCACTTACTCACCAAACCATTGATATGATCCTGCAGTTGACAGCCGTCTTCTTCAGTCTCAACCACACGGCTAATTTTTGTGTTGTCTGTCAATCATACCTCCCACAGTTAAGTCTCAATCAATGACATACATCAAAAACAGCAGGAAACATAACACTCAGCTCTGTGGAGTCCCACTAGAAACTGCTGTCCATTAACTAAAAGAGACATCAACATTTAGATTTGTTTCCTGTCACTGAGCCAACTTTGGATCCAACACATAACTTTCTCCGGGCTTTACTTTTACTGACCAGTCTGTCACATGGAATTTTGCTAAAAGCCTTGCAAAAATCCACATAGACAACATCCACTGTAACCACACTCATCAATCCTCCTTGTTACTTCCTCAAAAAAAAATTCAATTAAATTGGTAAGACATGGCCCACCCTCAATAAAACTATGCTGACTCTCACTGATGAATCTGTGTCTTTCCAAGTAAGAGTTAATCCTATTTCTAAACATTGATTCCAGTAATTTACTCACAATTGTTGTCAAATTGACTGGCATATGATTATTTGGCATTTCCCTTGCACCCTGTTTGAATAGTGGCACAACAAGTGCAGATCTCCAAACTTCTGATACTTCACCTGCATCTGTGAGGATTGGAAAATGATCTTTAAAACATCTATTGCTTCCTTCCTAGCTTCTGTTAAGAGTCTAGAATATAATTCATTTGGGACTGGCTATTTATCCACTTTCAAAAAGGTTAATGCCTCCATTGCTTCCATTCACATTTTGCTTATTTTTATCTGATCTTTCACATTCCCTTTAACTAGCACGTCTGCATGAATTTTTGTGAAGACAGAGATAAAATACTTCCCCATTAAAATTGCTGCACAGATCTTCAGCATTAATACCCAAGTTACCACGTACATCTCTGATAAGTCCAACCATTTCCTTACTCATCATGTACTGATAAAAACATCTTTTTGACTTTCCTTAATTTTACCAGCAAATATTTTTGATACCGCCTCTTTTCTTTCCTAATTTACTTATTCATTTCACCCCTGTAATTTTAATACTCCTCTAAGCATCATAAAATATTATTTTTCTTGAGATTGTCATAATCTCCATTTTTCTACTTTATCTGTATGCTTCTGGATAACCAGGGAATTCTAGATTTGGCAGAACTCCTTCTACCTCACCATAACTTTCAATGGCCTTCTCCTTTTGTCTCCTATTCCTTTTGTCCATTATCAATCCCCTCCCTTTTGATTATTGGCCCTTTCACCATCTCCCTAGGTGTTCTTGCTCTTAAAGATCCCACTCCCATTGAGGTCCCTATGCCCAGTGTTGCCGTCACGCCCTCCTCATTAGGTACAACTGTTCTTTCTCCCTGCCTGACAGAACATCTTACCCAACTGTGTTACCTGCCCTTAAAATCCAGCTCTCACCCTTAATTTTCCCGCCTTGCTCCATGACTGTTATTTCTCTCTCTGAATCCCAGTTTTCTCCCTAGATTCCACAGCATTCCTCCATTGTCTCCAACAATCAAGTCCTTAAATTCCATTCCTTATGTTACACTTTCAACCAGACCATCTCTGTGTTAATCTTACTTTTAGGTTGGTCCCCTTTAGTGAAAACCCCCAGTGATATTTCTCCCCCTCTTCAATTGAGTCCTGCTTGCCAGGTCTGGTCAGGTATGTATTCCTGAAAATCACGTTATCTGTACTTCCACCTCCACTGTACGTTTCTCTCCTCGTTGAATAATACATGGCATTGTATCAACGATCCATCACCATTATGACAAAGTAGGCAGTTAGTTTAGCTAACAACCTTATTTCCAGCTCATTATATTACTTCACATTGATTATTGCTAACATCCAGGTTTAATTTTCCACAGCCTGTAAGTTATGTACAAATCGGATGCAAATTTGCTAACAACCAAAAATATGATTGATAAGTTAAAAATGAAACTATACAAATTTAGACCATTGCTTTCCGTTTCAGGATTGTATCCCTATTACAATTGACAATAAAAAATATTTTAGTGATGATAATAAACTGACAATCAGCAATGCAGATGATGAAGATACTGGAAATTACACATGTAAACTTGAATACAAGTATCTTGGGAAGAAATATAATGTAACAAGAACAACGCAACTAAAAGTGAAAGGTAGGTGAATTGGTAAACATATCAGCCTTCATCTATGTCTTCTAGCAAAAGTAAGAATGTGGATGTTTGAACAATGTGATATATTTTACAGAACTAATTTAGGACAGAGATTTGCCCTTAGACATTGGATAGAAGAATAGCGCTCACAGACATAAGGGAAAGGATATCTGCCTCTTCAGTTGTGGAATGGAGTTGGAAAAGATTATTTAGGAGGATTGGAGTAAAATTTGTCATGTGATCCAAATTGTTACGTGCATAAATTTGCTTAATACAGTGTTACACACATAAATAATTTGAAACATACAATAAAGTTAGTTTTGTAGCACAATTTCTGTTTCTTATGTATTTGTGATATCTGGGTGACTTGTATAAAATGCATTACAGCAGTAGTTTGTACATATGAGAGATTTTAAAAGTCAGGTAATCATTCAACTGGTCCACAACACTAGCATCTACTCTATATTCACAAAGTAATGTGATCTTTAGGAGGCAGAAACATTATCTGTTATGGTCTTTGCATATCATCCAAACTGCAACTGATAGAATGGGGAGATAAGAAAGAGAGAGAGAGAGAGAGAGAGAGAGATGATTCTGGGAGTTGGACAACAGAGAGTGGATCTTCAAAGAGGCAAGTGTGAGAAAGAGATTGTTCAATGATAAGCTGGTGGAAGGCTCTCCTACAACTTTTCATAAACGGAGAAGGGAAATTAACAAGAAATTTACACACAGATACTTCCATTGTTCTTATTTGGATGGGAAAGGTAAGAGACATAAATCAATCCTACTGAGGAGCTTAAAGTGCATCTTTATATAAAAATTACCTGTTAAAGAGTAGAATCTGCATTCTCTGTCCATTGAAATGAGGATGACATCTGCCATGCTCCATAATCTGTGTGTCCTCCAGTGACTCAGCACACCAGTTCTTGGGGCTTTTGGGCAGAGAGTATGTGAGTTTCCCTGGAGAAAGGAGGATTCTCTAGTCAGGATTCCGCTCTCCCTTGTTTCAGTTGTATTGCTTCATCAAAGCAGTTTCAGAAGTCAATTTCCCGCTTTTTGCAGCTTGTTCAATGAGTCATTATCACATCGCACATTTTATGGCAGTATCCTCCACAATGTCAATTTGTTCCCTTTGTAATAAGGTCTTCAGAGTGTCCACAAAATGTTTTCTCTGCCTTCCTTTAGATCCATTGCCATCCTTAAGTTGAGAAGAGAGTTTGCTTCATAGAAATAGAATAGCCCGTTGGGGATTAGGGAAAGATTCTGCTGAAGTGAGGGAAATAAAGAGAGTGCTGAGTAGATTACGCTAATGATTGGCAGAACCTCTGCGCTCTTAGTGTTGCTGAGTTATTTAGCCATTTACGACCTCATCCACTCCCTTGTAACCTTTGGGCAAATACTGGGGACCTGACATTTCCAGATCCTGTTGGACTTCTCTCCCTCTCCGTTGCACTTTCAACTGACTTACATCATCTCAAGACCAGGGACATTTTAGGCTGTACAATCTCCAAACAGAGGACAATATATGTACTGGCGATGCCCCCCTGTGCTGTAAACATTCTGTGATGCAACGACTCTATAGCATCTCAAAATTAATGTCATCATTTACTAGAATTGAATAGTTGTATTCCTGCCCATTTGTAGTTGCATATAGAATATCTTCAATTGTGATCTTTACATTCTGAATTGATTGTTTCAGAAACAATAAACAATCCAACACAACCAGAAATGATAAGTCCTAAAAATGAAACAATTGAAGCAAGACTTGGTAAGTATAAAGAAATAGCCATATCTTCTTGAGCTTTCATTCTGTATCAAATAATCTAACAGTACTTCAACGTTTATTGTAATGCTGGCAGTAAAATATTGATGACTTTTCACATTAATTTCATCACATGAATGTTGAAGACTTAATGATCGAAAGATAATAATTAATTTTCTAGAGAAGCGATCGTTTATTTGACGACATTCACAGTCCCATTCAGACTGGTAAATTCTCTTCCCTCAAAGTAACCAATATGCCATATCTGTGGTTAGAGACGTTAGCACAATGTGCATTAACAACTTAAAACGATGCCTAGCGAACTGTCAACATGAAAATGGAATTAGAGATTTCCTTGCTTGTTCAGTAGTTGAATGGTCTGAATGATACTGAGTAATTTGAACAAAGAAAATCGTAGGAGTAATTTAAACATACACCCAAGACAGGTGTGACATCAGTGGAGAGCTCAGAAACAACATCAGATATGTAACTCCCTTGTCTGCCTGGCTGAACTTGTTTTCACAGCAAACAACTTTTTCTTCATGAATGCTCTTTCCCTACTTTCCTTCCAGGTAAAAGATGCTGCACTGCATACCCACATTGATACTAGCTATAGCCTATCTTCTGATGCGATGTGTGAAACACACATTTTTTCCAGTTTTATCTCCTAACCTCCTTTTCCTGTACATTGATGAGTGTATCAGAGCCACCTCCTGTTCTCACCCTCAATAGGAAATCTTGTTGACTTTGTTCCAATTTCTACCCTTCTCTCATCAACACCTGGTCCATCTTTGGAACTTCCTTGCCCTTTCTCAAATTTTCTATTTCCATCTGTGTGGATAGGCTATCAACTACACTCCACATCTGCAGAATCTCACAGCAACCTTGACCACACTTCCTTGTGACCTTCTTCCTATTCCATTCTTCTCGTTCAATCTTCTTCCTCAACCATGGATTCTTACCTACTGTAAAGGTCCTTGACCATGCGTAATGTATTTCACAGATATTCTCTCACCTCTTCCTCTTCTGCCCAGATTCTTCATAGGAGTCTAAGGAGAAAGTGCTGTAGAAGCTGAAAGGTCGGAAGGTGGATAAATCACCCAGATTGAACAGACTACATCCCAGAGTTCTAAAAGAGACAGCTGAAGAGATTGTGGAGGCATTTGTTGGTAATCTTTCAGGAATTATTGAAGTTAAGTAGGGTCCCAGAGGAGTAGAATATGGCTAACGTAACACCCCCGTTTAAGAATGGAGGGAGGCAGAAGACAGGAAATTATAGGTCAGTTAGCTTGAACTGGGTCATTGGTACGATTTTAGAGTCCACTATTAAGGATGAGATTGCAGAGAACTTGGAAGTGCATGGTAAAATAGAGCTGAGTCAGCATGGCTTCATCAACGGGAGCTCATGATTGACAAATCTGTTAGAATTCTTTGAGGAGGTAATGAGCAAGTTAGACAAAGGAAATCCACTAGATGTGATCTATTTGGATTTCCACAAGGCATTTGACAAGGAGCCGCACAGGAGGCCTGCTAAATTAGATAAGAGCCCATGGTGTTAAGTGCAAGGTATTGGCATGGATAGAGGTTTGGCTGACTGGCTGGGTCTTTTTCAGGATGGCAACTAGTGATTAGTAGAGTTCCACAGGGGTCAGTGTTAGGACCACAACTATTCACATTATGCATTAACAATTTGGTTGAAGGAACTAAGGACATTGTTGCTAAGTTTGCAGATGATATAAAGATAGGTGGAGGGACAGGTAGTGTTGAGGAGGCAGGGAGGCTTCAGAAGGGATTGGACAGACTAGGAGAATAGGCAAAGAATGGTAGATGAAATACTATGTGGGAAAGTGTAAGGTTATGCACTTTGGTAGGAAGAATAGAGGTGTGGACTCTTTTCTAAATGGGGCAAGGCTTCTGAAATCTGAAGCACAAAAGGATTTTGTCCTAACTCAGGATTTTCTTAAAGTTATTATAGAGGTTCAGTAGACAGTTAGGAAGGCAAATGCAATGTTAGCTTTCATTTCAAGAGGGCTAGAATACTACAGCAGGGATATACTGCTTATGCTGTATAAGGTTCTGGCCAGACTGCATTTGAAATGTTGTGAGCAATTTTGGCCCCATTTCTAAGGAAGGGTGTGCTGGCCTTGAAGGGGGTCCAGAGGAAATTTACAAGAATGATCCTGGGGATGACGGGCTTATCATATGAAAAGTGGTTGACGACTTTTGGGTCTGTACCCAATGGAGTTTAGAAGGATGAGGGGGATATCATTGAAACTTACAGGATACTGATAAGTTTGAATAGAATGGATGTAGAGAAGCTGTTTCCACTAGAAAGAGAGACTAGGAATCGAGGGCAGAGCCTAGAAGGGGTGACCCTTCGGAACTGAGATGAGGAGGAATTTCTTCAGCCAAAGGGTGGTGAATCTGTTCATCTCATTGCTGCTGCAGGTCGTGGAGGCCAAGTCATTGAGTATGTTTAGGGCAGAGATAGATAAGTTCTTGATTAGAAAGGGGATCAAATTATGGGGAGAAGGCAAGAGAATTGGGTTGAGAAACATATCAGCTATGACCGAAAGGTGGAGTAGACTCTATGGCCTTATTCTTCTCCCATATCTTATGGTCTTATAGAGTCCACCGGTCCTCACCTTCCACTCGACCTGTTTCTATATTCAATGATCATCCATCTTCATTTTCACCACATCTAGTGAGATTCTCCCACAACATATCTCTTTCCTTGGCTTGTGTGCGGCAGCATTTCGAAGGAACTGTGCCCAGTGCGACACCCTGGTCACTCCCCAGTCAACCCCTCTCCACACCGCTTGCCTTTCTCACAGCTTCATTCTGTGTGAGAATCAGAGATGCAACACCTGCCCTATTGCCTCAGCCTTCTTACCTTCCAAAGCCTTCAACATCCTGTCGATGTAAAATAGTGATTTCTTACATGGAAACATAGATTGTAGGAGCAGTTGTAGGCCTGCTCTGCCATTCATTATGATCATGGCTGATCGTCCAATTCAATAGCTTGTTTCTGCTTTTCCCCTATATCATTTAGTCCCAACTGCTATATCCAACTTTTTTTTTGAAATCATCCAATGCTTTAGCCTCGACTGCTTTCTCTGAAAGTGGATTCCACAGACGTATCAGTCTCTAGTTGAAGAAATTTCTCCTCACCTGAGATCTAAATGGTTAACCCTGTAGATCCTTAGACTGTGATCCCGGTTCTGGGCTCCCCAGCTATCGGGAACATCCATCCTGCGTCTATCCTGTCTAGTTCTGTTACAGTCTTCCAATGTAGTACTCTGCATTTGCTGCTTACAATGTGATCCCCCCTGTACTGGGGAAACCAAGAGCTGAAGACTGACTACCTTATGGACCACTTCCTTTTAGTCTGCAGGCATGACCCTGTGCTTTTGGCTGCCCATCATTTCACTTTTGTGCATTGCTCTCAATTTGACCTTTCTAGCCTTGGCTTTCTGCAGCCTTCCAATGAAACTCAACATAAGCTTGAGGTACAGCCCTTCATTTTTTCACTGAATACTTTACTGCTTTTTGCATTCAATACTGTGTTCAACAATTTTAGATCTATCCTCTGTTGCCATTTTATTTTGTTTCTTTCTTGAATGATTAATTAACCCAATTATTTGTCCCATGCTGAAGCATAATGGCAGATTTATTTTTCAGTATTGAATAATGTATTGTTAAATAGTTACTATGTTGATAAATGTGTCACTAAGTGAAACTGTTTAATTATGTTAGTTCAATTAGTGATATGGTACCTATTAGTGATGTTATTTGGGTTTTATTAATTTCCTATTGTTCTTTATGACTCAAATAATTAAAGTAAAAGGTTAATAATTTCGAGGTATTATCAGGAAATCCTTCAGGTTCCACTAATTTCCTCTGTGTAATTTCAACCTTAATGTTTAAATGTGAAACAAGAAACATATTGTATGACAGGGAACCAGATTGATGTTTTCTTACATTGGCAGTAATCAGTTTGATTAAACTTGAAAGGGTGCAGCATTATTTTATTAATTATATTTCTGTATTTTAAGACTGCAGTAGTTTTTTTCTGATTATTTCACAGGCTCAGAGCTAAATATGACCTGTGAAGTTCTTCTGGGATCAGGCAAAGTGGAAGCATTTTGGGGGCTTACCTGGAAAATGAATAACACTGATATTCCCGAAGATATGGTCAGAATTAAGCAAGGAAACAAAATGTATGTTGTACTTTAATCCTTAGTCAAATTGATTGCTTATTAGAGAAGTGTGGGATAATGAAAATAAAAACTGTAAATGCACCTAATGATTATGAAAAAGACTTTGCTGGAGTTAAGCCACTTGACTCTCGCTGTGTCTGTCATAAGATATTAATGTGAAATTTACAAATATATATTTAATGATACAAAGGTCCTTTCTTTCTTTCATCATTACATAGAATGGAATTACCTTGTACTTACATAATTAGGATGTAAGTAAGGGAAGAACTCTGTGTAAAAGATCAATGAAACGTGAGCACAAATATGTTAGCCGTGTCATTATCCTTTCTCATATTTTCTCATTGTTTTATGCCTCTGTTGACTCATGTGCTAAAATCCATCTTAGTTTCACTTAAAATTTTCCACCCCAATCTAAATTGTCCTACATATGAATTTTCTACAATTAATATTAGGCACAGTCAAAGACATTTGTCCTGATGCTTTGTTGCAATTATTTTTTCTGTTTCTTTTGTTGCAATTTTATTCTAACAGTAGAAGTCCGTTCAAAAATTGAAATGCTTCTACAACTGCAAATTCCAAAATGTGCTGTGGCTTTTTATGTGCCAATAATAACTACTTTTAAATTATGTTACAATGTCTATGGGGAAATTATAAACCAAAATCACAAAATGACCACCCAAACAAAAATGTAATTAAGATGTTACATTTTGTAACTTTAGTCTTAAAAAATTCAGTCCCAATGCAAATAAAACATGAGTTAGCAGGCAAATGATATTTTAAAGACAAAGGTAAGTTTCACATTACAGAGCAGATGTAACATATGCACATTATCTTATATGCACTTTAACCGTCACATCACTCCCTGGGACAGGTGATATTACCTATGGTTCCATGTTCTCTAACTCTGCCTTTGGTAGATAAGAGTTTCCCACGGAATCAATTCAGCCCTTAAGATGTATTCACTCACAGCTATGTTTCACACAAGACTTCCACAGGCTGTTCACTCCTGCAAAACTTCATCAAAAACCAGGTTCACAACAGTCCTGGTGGTAATTTTCCCCAGGGATCCTTTTATGAGCCCCTTTAATAAACCCAGTGAAGTAGTCTGGTTTGATTTAGCAAAACTGAACCAATAGCATTAAAACTGTACAATTCACAAACCTTCAGCTTTCTGTCCTATCGAAGTGTATTATATAAACTTGTGTATTCATGTATATGCCTTCTCTGTTCTCCTCTCTGCTGTGACTTGCTTTCATTCTTACATTAACAACTGCTTTGTCTGCCTTCTTTGTGTCTGGTCGCGTGGCATTTAGTATCTTAATGTCCATCTTGTTGGTACTGTTTACAGGTCAAAGGGTTACTGGTTCACATGAACCAAGAGTTATATTATTCAAGAAAATTAGAATTGATCCCTTTACGATTTGTGCAAACTTTTAAAAATCTATTTCATGCATTCTTAGACACAATTACAAACTTTAAAGAAGTTACAAATTTTCCTTACTGTAATGCTTTTGGGTCAAAGACTTCACTATTTTAATTCCCATACTTACAGAAGGAATGTAGGATGTCAAACAGTGTTTTGTTTGGATCTTGACTGTTTACACATGTTTACATTTTGCCATACGTTTATGATTTGGCAGGAAATTTGGGTTCAAATGGATAGTGGCAAAATTAGCACACAAATGGATGTAATTTTAACTTATTTAGGTTAAGGTTTCCAAAAATGCCTCAGTTGAAATTTAAGCTGATGTTTGAATGTACACAGTCAAACTTCTGTTCTCTCAGGGAGATCTGCATCATAATCTTTCCAAATACAATAATGATGGAGCATTGTTATTTGCATTACTTGCACTACCACCAACAGTGAACTTGTCAGCAGTGTAACTCTATTGCAGTCAGAGCCAATGTAAAAATTATTGTTAAGAGCATAACAAAGGAGTAGCCATAAGGTGCCTTGAGCTTGAACAGCCATTTAATAAGACCATGGCTGAACTTTACATCAACATCTCTTTCCTGCCCTGTTCCCTTAATCATTAGTCTGCGTAAAGCTATTGATCTCCATTTGAGTATACTCAACAACCAGAAATCAATGCCCTCTCTATTGGTGAGTATAGTGTTCAGGCAGCAGATTTATCATGTGAGAATGTGGCAGGTTGGGGCACCAAGATTTTCCAACCTCTGCTCTGATTAATCTCTGAGGCCAATTTGTATTTAAAGAAAATGACCCCTGACGGAAATTTATCCCTGATTATGTACATATGCCAAATCATTGTGGTTCAGCAAGATGTATGTTCCTGCTACTTCTCTGGGGCCTGGGACGACTAGTGGATGACACCAATAACAGAAGGCAAGAATTGTGTGTAAGATAGATGCAAAAAGTTAGAGACAATTAAAGGAAGCTGCACTGTATACATTTTTCTTTTAAACACATTGCCTTGAAATAACCATGAAAACAATTTCCCAGTGGCCAATAAAAAAAACAAGCTCAGTGTAAATAGATAAGTGTTTATACCCACCACCATGACTCATGAAATCGGGAAACTTGGTGACAGCATGTTCATGAGACTGAAAATAATATTCCATGTCACCTTCTCTATATTTTGATGAAGAATTTCCTATGCTTCATGTGGGACAAATGTTTGGGACATATGTAATTTCCCTACTACTTGGGAAAGAGATGAAAATCATTTCCAGGAACTGCAAATTCATCATGACCCATATTACCGGTGATAAGCTCATCTCGTATGTCGATCTTGCGAATGTCACACACTCCTCACACTTTATCTCTCATACTTTCAAAGTCTCAAAAATATAATAAAATGAAGTCAGTTATTTCCACTTTTTAAACTCTTGATGTTCTGTTTTCTCTTGAAAACAGGATGGTGAAAGATTTCCACAGCTAGATACTTACTAGCCTGTTGTTGTAATTGGGCAATGACATAGAGGCAACTACAAGTTTAAACACATCTCAGTCTTGGTAGCTAAGCACAAAATATCTACAGCTACCATTTAATTACTGTATCTATTTGGACTGATGTTTTTCAATGTAATGCTTTTTCAAAGAAGCAAAATTCTGAATAATTGTGTACCAAATGATCAACATTTACAAATTGTTTTATTTTTATACTTCCACAGTGACAAAAAAGAAGCTAAGCATACAGTAGTATCTTTGAGAACTTTATCAATCTCCAAAATCATTGAAGAAGATTTTCAAACCACATTTGAATGTTTTGCACATAATCCACGAGGCAATAGTCATGGCTTTATAAAAATTATACCTCAATGTAAGGTTTGCTTTTGAGCTTAATTTTTTACTTGAATAAAGGTATTTTGCTATTTTCATGTTTAGTTTATCAACCAGTCTATGCATATGTAATGCAAAATTTAAAGCATTGAGAAAAACCTGTTTCAATTTTGTATGAGTAGGACAGGAATTAATGTTTCCATGGTGGTCCAGGCATTGGCTTAGCTGTAAACTCAGAGGAAATATTTGTTCATCCTTTCCGTGGAATAGTGAATAGTTTCAAATTTACTGTTAGCTTTCAGATCAGTTTTCTCAGCAGTTTTCTTTTTAATATTCGCAATTCATATTTGTGATGGGTAATTGTTAACATAATAGGAAGCTGGTCATCACTTGTCCCTAAAAACTGTTGAGCTAGAAGCAGGTATCTGAAGTGATTCAATTTAATTCATTTATTTTTGTGACATCCTGATGGATTCATTCATTGCTGCATTTTCTGGCCTGAATGTTAGTCCATCCACTCTTATTGTGTAATTTTGAGGCAGTTCCTTTCTGGTGCCAATGCCTCTGCTCAGTGCCTGGTGAGATTTCCTAGTTATTTTCTAATGTAATTGTTACCCTTTAGGCCAGGAATGGGCAGTCTGCATCTTGTCATCTTAAAATGCTGATTTTTTTAATTGCATTATTTTACCTTGTTACGCTGCACTTCTCAGACGCCATCCCACTCAGAGCTCGCCAAAAGAATAGGTAAGGAATGACACTGGTCTTGTTTTATAGTAAACTTGACTTAGTGCTAGCTGTCACTTGTTAGTTAAAAGTTATTAGTGTAATCTCTACTCTGGAGATCTGGGACAGGATTTTGTATTTTTATGCGTCAGTACACTGATATGTAGTTCTCAACTCTGTACTGTCTTGAAAGCAATTATCCAGCACAAATTTCCCTTTGATTGGCCAAATAGTGGCCAGAACTTGCCTTGCAGAACAGTAGAAAAATTCTTCGGTGTGTTAACCAACATTTATGTGCAACCAATTTTACCTAAACAGATTATCTGCTCGTTCATCTCCTTTACTATTTGAGGGATCTTGCTGTGCTCAGACTAACTGCTACATTTCCCCATATTATGACAGAGACTACATTTGAAAACAATTCATTATTCACTTTGGAACCTTTTAATGTTGTGCAAAGTGCTATTAAATGCGAATTTTTCTTTTATAAGACCTCCTGCTGCAAGTACAAACCTTCAAACACTGTGGCCTTTATAACAGAAAGGGAGCAAGATTGATGGAGGAACAGGGTTAAGTTTTAAAGCATTTATTTTTACAGCATGGAATTAATACACATCCTATTTTAAATGAAATCACAGATACTTGTAAGTTAGTTTAAAAAGTCTAGATGTTGAATGAGATCTATAATTAGACAAAATGAGGAAGGAAGGCAAAATGTGAATCAAATATTTTTAAAACAAATTAGTTCTTATTCCACGTACTGGATGATGATTTCAGAGAATAAGTTCATAAGGTCTTGCAAACTTCAATGGAATATCAAACCCTATAGAGAGAGAGCCGGGCGGGGGGCGTGGGAGTGTGTGGAGGGGAAGCAGACACAAGGATATATGAAAATATGCAGTTGGAGCAGCAATATGACTCTTGGCCTCTTGCTCTAAGAATTAATAGGATCATTGCTGAATTAGTTACGCCACATTCCTGCCTACCTCCATAACACTTCACCCCTTTGCTTAATAATGAGACATAGGAGTAGAAGTAAGCCATTCAGCCCATCAAGACTGCTCTGCCATTCAATGATGTCAGAGCTGATCTGATAATCCTCAATTGAATTTTCCTGCTTTTTCCCAATAACCCTTGGTTCCCTTACTGATTAAAATCTCTTTATCTCAACCTTGAAAATATCTAATGACCCAGCATCTACTACCATCTGTGGCAAAGAATTCCACAGATTCACTACCCTCTGAGAAATGAAATTCCTCCTCATCTCCTTTTTAAGCACGTGATCCCTTATTCTGGGATTATACCGTCTGTCTTAGTCTCTCCCACAAGGAGATACAAACTTCCACATCTACGCTGTAAAGTCCCCTAAGAATCATGCAATGTTTCAATAAGGTTGCCTCTCATTCTTCTAAACTCCAAAAGTACAGGCCCAACCTACTCAACCTCTCCTCATAACGTAGTCCCCTATACCTGGAATCAACCTCGTGAACTTTCTCTGGACTGACTAAAAAGCAAGCGCATCTTTCCTTAGATATAGGGCCCAATGCTGTTCATAGTATTTCAGCTGTCCTCTGACTAGTGCCTTGAATATTTTTAGGACAATTTCCATATTTGTGTACTACATTCCCCTTGAAATAAGGCCAACATTCTATTTGCCTTCCTTATACTAACTTTAGTGATTTATACATGAGGGCTCCCAAATCCCTTAGGATTCTATAGTCACAGTTACTTTATTTAAATCCTTTCCTCCTTTCCCTTCTTAGTAATTTAGTAAGTTTGGAATAGCATTTATGTTTTCTACTGTGAAGACTAACGCAAAGTATTTGTTACAGTCCTCTTCCATTTCCTGGTTCCCCATCATTATTTCCCCAGCCTCATTATCAAAGGGATCTGTGTTAATTTTGACCTCCCTTCCTTTATATATATTTAAAGATACTCTTGCTGTCCATTTTGATATTGCTTGCAAGATTACTTTAAAGTATATCTTTTCACACTTTATTGTATATTTAATTATCTTTTGTTGGTTAAACCTTTCCCAATCCTCTGGGTTGCCAGTAATCTGTAAAGCACATTGTATGTACAGTAGAATTTTTAATAACTAGAACTTATGGGACCAGGAATGTGATCAAATATTCTGGTTGATCAAGTGGTCCACATAACCAATGTAAAAATGCACACTAAGTAATATAAACGTAATGCAGGGGGTATAGACATCACTGTTATACTTTATTTACAGCATAAATCACCTAAATAATAACTTAAATAAAACTTACCCGGCAGAGAGCCTTCTCACTCACAGCCTCAACTAACTACTCTGATATTGCAGAAATCGTGATAACACAGTTAACATTTGTTATTTCAGGTATCATAGTTTTTGCCAGTTTGTCAAGTGTGCCGGTTCATTAGGTGCTGGTTAAAACAAAGTTTGCTATATACCCTTCCTAGAGTCCTACTTTTCCACTGGGATATTAGTTTGCTGTGAGCCATAAATTACTTTCTTAAATATGTGCCATTTTATCTCAACTGTCTTTGGTGTTAAATATCTTTCTCAGTCCACTCCAGCTAGCTCTGCCTTCATTTCTTCATAATTACCTTTATTGAAGTTTAGCACACTTGTTTCCAACACAAGTTCCTCCCTCACAAACTAAATGCTAAATTCTACCATCTTATTGTTGCTGCTTCTTGAGAGATCTTTTACTCTGACATCATTCATTAATCCTGCCTCACTACACCTCACCAGATCCAATATAGCCTGGTCTCTGGTTGGACCTATAACATATTGTTCTAGGAGACTGTCCTGAATACACACACTGAATTCTTCCGTATGACTACCTCTGCCAATCTGACTATCTATATCTACATGAAGATTCAAGTCACCCAATATTAATGTATTGCCCTTTTTCCATGCCTTCATTAATTCCTGGTTTATTCTCTGTCCATTGTATAGCTACTTTCAGGGAACCTATAGACCACTCTGAGACAACAAGGTGCAGGGCTGGATGAACACAGCAGGCCAAGCAGCATCATAGGAGCAGAGAGGCTGACGTTTCGGGCC